CTGCTTTACTCTTCTTTTCCTGTAGTACTCGGTCTATGGTTCTGCATCTTGAAATATGGCACTTTCCAGAACAGTAACTTTAAATTATAATTGTAATTAAAACACATTATCTCAGTAAAATGAGATTTCTTATGTTTTACATACATTGTGTCCTGAAATAACCAGTAAGCTAAAAAGAAAATTCTCTGTACTCTCTGCCCAAGAAAATGTTCTTGTTAGAACAGCTCAGGAGAGATAACTGTGCACTAAAATGAGCATTAAATATCAGGAAAGTTTTTAAAGTTTTCTGTTGCAGAGAAGAGATTGCTCAGAAAGTTTCATCACTGAAAAAATGCATAGATACATTAATTAATCATCAGCAACAAGAAAGGGGAAAATGTTGGGTGAAATTGAATGAGATAGAGCAATAGGGGAGGAAAAGGAAGATGCTGGAAGATAAACAAGTGTTTAAAAAGTCTGTTTGCTGCACACAGGGCTTCAGAGCCCACCCCTGCAATGCTGGCAGCAGTGTAACAAAGTCCTGCACGTGCACAGGTGTGCAGGAAAGACTTCTCTGGCTCAGCCAGAACTCCCAATTCCACCTTGATTCCAAACTTAACTTTCAAAGCAAGGATGAAAGATCATCTTGGACATATAAAAGAAACAGGTTTTTGTTCTCAGCTGAGGATAGGGAGCTCTGGATGGAAATGGGTAGAGAAGACAGAGAGTATTTTCTTGCTGGCACAGGCTGGGATTTTGGGGCTGCTGCAGATGGTTCCTGGGCTGTTGCTGAGTGCAGAGCTCACACATCACTCCTCCACGGGGCCCTTGATGCTGGCCCGAGATCCCTGTGAGCACCTCGGTGCTGGTGTTCCCCAGAAAGGCAGAAAACACTCCAAAGCAGGTGCTGGGAGCTGATGCTCCACATCTCTGCATGGCTTTTAATAAGAGCAGACAAGGCGGGGGAAGAAGGGGGGCAGGCTGTGAAGAGAAAATCACACAGCTAATTGAGGAAAAGATTTTCTTTTAATGCTAAACAACCTTGAAGAAACACGATGCCAGTTTAGTTGATGATAACACTAAATGCTGGTTAAGGGGAGGGAAAATAGCTGTAAATACAAAGTGAGAGCAATGAAGTTCAGGGCAACTCAAGTAGATCAGGAGCACAGAGTTTTAAGAAGCTGCAGCTCCAAGATGAAAGCAGCAATGTAATGAGACAAGAAAAGAAATTAGAAATTATCCCTAGTTGTAAATTAATTTGAAAAGGTCCTTAGCCCGTTCTTTAATAAGTCTTCTTCATGCCCTCCACATGCTGCTTGGTGGCAGAAAAGTCTCACCTAGCATCAGCTGACCAAAAGATGCATGCAAAAACAGACTCAGGGGAATAAGTCCAATTCTATAAAAATGGGTGAAGATTCATTTGAAGTGCCATAAGAAATAGCAGAGAGAACATAATTTCTCTTATGATGAACAGTACAAATAACAAGGCTGTAAAGGGGAAAGGTATGTGTTTGGGAGAAGTAAATAGTGAAATACATAAATGATAATGCATAAGGGAGGTGGGAAAAGCTTCTTATGTGTCCTAACCCATGTAAATGTTTCTATATAAGCACAAAGCAGAATTTCAGACCTCAAGTGACATTTTTGATAATACCCAGATTAGAAAAGACATGTAGAATTTGATGGATAATAGTGAAATATAAGAATATAAATCTAATCATTTGTCCAGCTCTCTGAAATTTATCAGTGCATAAATTGAAATACTGTACCTAACATAATTTAATATGACACTAAAATATTACACAAATTAATATTTTGTTATGATGGGTAAGCAAATCTACGGTTTCACTGAAATGGATTGTTTTCCATTAGCTTTACTTTTTCTTAGCAAATGAATAAAGGCAGTAGAAAACTGCAAGCTCAGACACTTTAAGACTTTATTAACCACACAATTACTTATGGTATTTGTGAAGAAATAAGAAGAGACATCCATAGAAAATGCCAAATAACCTTAAATTATTCCAACACTTACCTATTTAGTCCATCTCTCTCCAACACCACATTTAGTTAGATTTATACCTGCAGTACAGTAATACCAAAAGCTTTTAATTTCATTGTGTTGCATAAAATTAGTTGCAGTGCTTTTCATCATCTCATGTTATGAATGATGGAAGGGGACAGACACAGTATTTAAAATGCTGACTGAATAAACCCCATGAGTTATTACAGCCACATATTGCAGGCAGAAAAGTAAAGCAGGGCTAAGACTGAGAGACCTTATTCAGACTTAATTTTGGAGGCTGTAATGCAACATGTCTTATTTGCAGCTGTATAAAAAGGCAAGATAAATATCTTCCAAACTTGGCATCTGACATGCTGGTGAAATCCCTAGAGATGAGCAAAGGGATTTTTTGGAATGAGATTATCAACATATTTAATGTCCTGAATCTGTATACATCATAAGAATAAACTTTAGCATTTAAGGGATTATTTAAAACATCTGGTCTCTCCTTCAGTTTGCAGAGTCTATGTTTGCCTTCCAGTGGTTGAACACAAACCCCAGTGACCACGCTGGGCTGGCTGGGGGGACATGGACCAAGCCAAGCTTTGCTCACCAAGCACTGCAAGAGCCATGAGAGTGGCTGGCGGGGAGGAGGAAAGTGCTCCAAAATAGCTATTTCAGTAAAATATATGGAGTTCCCACAGATTCAGAATTAACACATTTAAGTGCCTTTTTCCTATGGAATTTTAATTATTGCACTTTTACAAGCTCTTGTGACTCACAAGCAGCATCACTACATATAGACCACATCATACTACTAAGTCAAGTTGCTAGGATGTTCCACATTAAATCATAAAAAATAAATGCAGCTGCTCTTTCTTGCTGCTTGATACAACTTGTCAAGTGTCCTCTTTGTGTGTGGGAACAAGGAACAAGCTACTATCAGATTTAGATTTCAGAATTGCACAATAAATAATTTTTATTTTTATTTATTTATTGATTAACATTTATATAAATAAATAAATATATTCTGTCACAGATAGCAGAATATGTATATATATTGTTTTTTTTATCACTAGTGAGGGGGAAAAGAAAACCAACAAGGTTTTGAATCAAAATTGTTTAGGTTTAGTCATAATATTCATGCAGGATGTCATACATTAGACACTAAGAAATGGCTGGTGAATCCAAGTATCATTAGACTTAGCAATAATATCGTAGATAATAACCCTTCAAAAATGATTATACTAGTAAAAGCAGAGATAAAACCAGCAGCTCTGTTTTCTTCATCCCAATCTACCATAAAAACCACCAGTCCATCTCAAGAATGTGAATATATAATCTGTTGAGATACAAAAGATTGTGTCCAAATTATTTGTTTTGATTAATTTCCCTCTGCAGCAAGAAATCTACAGCTTGTATACATTGACCAAGTCCCACAGGTCATTCATATTTACAATTCTTTTTTCCTAAGTAATGTCTCACGTACCGTCATGCACAAGTGATAAACGGCGCTTGTCAAACACCCAATTGGCAATTCACTTTTTGACTTTAAGGGTCACACTGCAAGCACCTGGAGTAAAATTCCTCAGAAAACTCTGCCAGCCCTCTATTCCATTTTCAGTTACATTGGTGTAATTCAAACAAGGAGAAATCTAAATCTGTTCTGAGCAGTATGAAAATGATACTATACTGTGAAACACCCACGTGCACCAAGCTCTATTTAACAATCCCTGATCTATTTCAGAGATTCATGGTGGGAAAAGTAATGGGGAGGGTGTCATCAGTTCTGAAGGGAATTTAAAAGTTATATACATGCCATAGATGAAGATTTGGCAACAGTATACTGCAGATATCTGTGCTGAATCTTTCAAAAAAGAAAAATGCCAATTCTAGCAGAAGCTGCATGTTGGTGGAAGGTTGTCCCTAACCTTATTATAAAGGCTGTTACCTGCAAATCCTGAGCTTTCCTTGGTAAAGGAGGCTATGGAGCTTAAATTGTGACTTTTTGGGGCATTTTACTTATAAAAGTCACTATTTTGTGACAACATTGCAAAAACGATCAGTTCATCTGGTCCCTTAAAATGCGTTACAACTGGTGTCACATGGACCAGGACAGGATATCTTTGTCAAATATTGTTAAACTCACACTGTTTTCTAGGAACCATAATTGATGAAGTGTGAAAGAACCAGGTCCCTCAATTCTGCCTGATTTCTCATTAACTTATTTCTTTGGCTGATTGGCAGCTGCCCAGTTCAGCAGTGGTTGTGTTATCAGGCAAAGTCAAAACCTACGGGCTGAGCTTGCCAAGAAAGGTTTGAATAAGGAGGTGGGAGAATGGGCAGAAAGGGCCTTTGTTCTACACCAAAATTAAATTAAACTAAAACATTAATGTTCCCTGAAAGTAAATTTTCTCCTCATGCCTTTCTCATAGAAACCTTCAATATCTGTGAAACACAACTAGGAACACAAGCCTTGCATGAGATGATTAGTTTTCTAAATTGAAAAACATTTTTTTCGTCTTTGATTCTTCATTTTCTAATATTATTTCTAGCAGTAGTTCAACATGACAGATTGGGTATGTAAACTGAAGGGGAATTACAGATACTCTCACTGCTGAAAAGATGTAAAACAAGTATTTCATGTAAAGAGTAACACTCATGGGAGCATAAATATCAGTTCTGTGAAGATGCACAGACAATATAATTCAGGGAACTTGCTGCGTTACTAAGAAACCTCTTCATTAAAGGGGCACATTTGTTTGGATTAGACCCTGCCAGTTGAACACAAAGTCTTCTTCCTGAGAAATCCCCTTCATTTCCTGACATTTGTAAAGTGCTATAAAATGCTAATTGGTCTCATCAGCAAACAATTAACATTCTGTTCAGTTTTATTCTCAATGCAAAAATGATAATAGGAAATAAAATGCCATACAGCAAAGGGATAGTTGAAGACTATGACAAAAGACAATCATATCTTCTTTTAGAGGTTCAGTTTACCTGCATATGGCCAGGTAAACTGCCCTTCCAGATATCCACAGGCTTAGCAGCCAAAACCAATAAACATTCCTGCTTCTGACAAGTTGACTCTGGCCAGCAAAGTCTGCTGCTGAAAAAAAATAAATTAATATTCTAATAAAAAATCTGTCTTTGATTAGTTTTCTTTAACCTCTGTGTTCCTACCATTTCTTGCTAACCCAGACAGGCCCCAGCTGATCTCCAGTTTGCTTCTTTGCCCCAGACTTTGCTTCCTCTTGTATTAACAAGTCAGGTCTATCCTTTCCTCTCTCCACCACCAAAGCTTGGAAGGAGAAGACTGTCTGCTCTACTGTGTTTTAGCACAAGATGCCTTTCATAGCTCTGCTAGGCTAAATACTGCAGAGTTCAAGCACAACATGGTATTTGAATTAAACTAACATGTAAAAACATTTCTGGATAAAAAAATACTTTATTGCCACCAATTTAAAACCATAAACATACTTTGAATCCAATTCAATATATTTCTTATTTGTCCCTGATTCTCTCTTGTTATTATTATTAGAAGGCATAAATTTTCAGCAAGGCTTGTGCTTGACAAGGCTCCATTATTTGCACATGACAAGGTTTATCAAAAACAGTTGGATTTTTATGAGGAGTCTTTTATGTTTCCTTCATAAAATATAAATAAATGAAGGGGATTAGATGGAGGAAGCAGAGTATAATTCATCACCAATGTGAAGCAGAAGGAGCAGGCTGCAGATGGATGAACTGAAGAACAACATGGTGACTGGAAATCGTTCTCTCTCAAATGTTGGGGAGCAAAGAGCATAATAAAGGAACATTGACTTTTCTTGCCATTTCAAGGTGTCCCTAAATGTACAAAGTACAGAATCTTCCCGAAATGCAAACCCACACACAAAACAGTAGTACTGTTTTAAATGTAGTAGTAAAGTATTGAATGGCTCCAAAATCTATCTCTTCAAGCCCAGTGCCCTCTTCCCAGCACAACTGGATTTCAATTTCTCTTGAAACTCTAAAATATGAACATTCGCTTTCTGTCCAATTCAGAATGAAAATATTTTTTGCATATGGTAAAAATTCTAATGTTTGATTTCAGTAAGGTGAATACAAAAGCCAACACAAACACAAAATATTTCAATATAGCAGAAAGTCAAGATACCTTATTAACAAAAAAAAAAAGAGAAAAAATATATTTACAACCTTCTATTTATACACATTTTCCTGCTGAATTTCATCAAATTAATTTTGGTCTCATGGATCATTTCTCTTTTGGTGAAACTTCAGTGAAAAGCTTCTCAAAATGTTACAGTTTGAAGTGGGTATTTCCAAGACCCTCCCCTAAGCTGATCTCTTACTACCCCATAACCTTACCTATAAAAACTTCTGGTTTTTTGTCTATATGAGGTGTGTCTTTCTTCCCACACCTACACAGGACTCTGCCTGTCAGTACTAAATCTGTTTCCAGCAACTAAAAGAGTCAAGGGAGAATGTCCTTAGAGACAAAGTGAATTATCCAGAATAAGTATGAAAGCTTAAGTTAAAATAATGTCTTACAGAATGATGGGTACAAGATGGAAAGAGACTGTCTCAAGGAGATAAATTTTGCTAACAGTTTTTCCACAGTGAAAAGGCATATATTATATTTAAACCAGCCTCTGATTCAATTGTGTGAGAGCTGCAGTAGAAATCCAATAGAGAAACATTTTCTGGCACTTTTACATCACATGCTCAAAGCAGGAGTTAAACCACAAGTGTTAATGTGCAAGCTAAAAAAAAATAAACATTTTATTGCTATATTTTAGAATTAGCTTAGAAATAATTAGTTTTCTTCTTTCCTTCATTTTAATATAGTCATTTTAGATCTGTATCCTACAAGTTTTGTACATGTGATTTGCCATACAAGCAAAGCTGAGGTTGAATTGGTGTCTGCAGGATCTGTGCCTCACATTGTAAGTTTTTCATGCACTTTTCTACCAGGGCTAAAGAGAGAAATAATTAATGGGAGATGGGAGAGATTCAGGTGCCACTTAAGGTAAACTCATTCCCAGGAATCTCTTTTGATGCAGGCTATGCAGCATTGCACTGCATTGACTAACTAAATCACTGCATTAATCAAGTCTATCTTTTATTCATGGGTCTGAACGTTTTCATCTGTTGGAAATGAATCGTGACCTCCTGGTACCTCTCCCTCTACCTGGCCATGTATTAAATGTGTTGTATATGCCCTGATTTAATCAAGTTGCACAAATCTGACTCAGATGATAGAATCTGACCAGATAGCCTTATTATTTGTTTTGGACTATTGACTAAACCTGTGGCACACCCTGAACTGGATTATAGCGTGGATCAAAACAGGGGAAAAAATGGTGCTATGAAATGATATTTCAATACATGGGAGAGCACCTCCATCTGATCTGCAGACATGCTGGTTGTAAACACATGGCAAAACCCAGCTCTAGGCAGTATGGGTGGGCTTTCCTATGTGCCACACACAAAGGCATCAGCATTAAATTTATTTTTGTTTCTCCTTCTGACCATTCAAAACAACATGGTGATGCTACCATTTAGTCCCTCTTGTTTCCGGATGTAGAGCAACGATTTTCATGAAATCAAAATTAATGAACTCACAGAGTACTGACATTTAAAGCAACATTCAATGAAGACATATTAGAGGTATTAATGGCTGCAATCTGGGACTCATTCCCATTCAAATGAAGCAACTAATTAATTGAGAGAAGTCAGCAGACAGAGTCCAGCAAAAAATAATTGTTATTCTACAGGTGACTAGAGCTGTCCTTGTGACTCTTTAATAAAAGAGGGACCTCAGTCACCATCTCTAGTTTCAGCCTCTGCTGACATTCTGTATGTCAAGAAAGTGCCAGATGTGATGTCTCTGGAACATCTGGGATCCCTGGGGCAGGGAGTGAAATGCAGAAGTGACAGGGGAGAGCTGATTTATGCACTTACTCTCTCCCCTGTGTTAGACATTAACAGATTGTGCCCACTCCTCACCTTGTACCAGAGACAAATACCAACCAGGGAGCCACCAGAGTGAGCAGAGAGTAAAGTTAAAGCAGAGCAAGCTCAAGGCTCCTCTGTGTTCTGCACAGAGATTTGTCACAGCAAGAAGGTGCTTGGTAAAAAGACAGGTGTAGCATGGGCAGGGCATGTTTGAAACGCAGTGGAACACAGAAAAGGTCAGGCAGAATTACATGGACAAAAGAAGTACAAAGAGACAGGTGGACAACTACTTCTGTCACCAAAAAGGACTAGAAGGGATCAGTTCTGAGGAACTGCAGTTAAACCAGGTTTTTTTTCTATTTGAATTCAGCTGAAGTGGTTTTCCAGAGCCAGCACTGTACATTGCACAAGGTGTTACAGTTCCAGGACACGGAGGACAGGGACAGATCCAGTTTGTGCAAGTTCTCCTCAGACATAAGGACTCATTGCTTAACAGGACCAACCAGACACACAGGAAACAGGTGCTGCACACACCATCATCACCTATTGCAGCAGGCATTTGCTATCTCTGAATAACACAGCTCATGTGCAACAGCTGGGCCGTGTCCCCACCGTGCCCATCCTGCCCTTACACTGGTAAGAAGGGCACCCAACAACAAGCAGGAAATATGAAATATGAAATAAATATGTAATATGAAAATGAAATAGGAAAGCTTCATAAAAATTATTGTCCTGTAAGCTGAGTTCCTCATGCCTCAGTCTGCCACAAGTGCACAGGAGGAACCTGGAACAGCCCTTCTGAATCCTCATCACATCAGTGGCTTTATTACACAGCAGGATGAGCCACCTCTGAGACTGCCTCTCTGTTTGTGGCTGTGATTTGTCACTGCTTTCATTCTTAAAAACAGGTTCACAGATTGAATCAGGGAATACAGAAAAATATTTCACACCATCTGTTTGGAAGGTATATTTCACACCCTGGGGCTGATTCAAAAGCTAGTAAAGAGTTGACAGCTTCAGTCTAGCTCTTAAGATCTTCCTATATTGCTTTAATGGTAACCAAAAGCAGCCTTTAGCTCCAAAATTTTACCACAGTCTGAAATGCAGAGGTGATAGCCATATATTAGGGCTCACATTCTTCCCCACAAATTACAAAAGATATCAGTCCATTCCTTGCATAGTCTGTTATATAAAGGGGATTCCTTATCAGCTGGTGCATTGTCATGGGCAGGATGGGAATCCTACACACTCTAAATCAAATCCATCTGTATGTACTGAAAAGGAAATGCATCTGAAAACATTACTAATTATTATTATTATCATAATCATCAGCATCATCCTGCTTAATTAGAAACATAAAAAAATATATTCCATTACTTAGAAGTACCAAACCATCAAACCCAAAGAAACACGAAAGAAAAATAAACTCATTAAAAAAAAAAATAAAATATGTAAGATAATTGATCAGAACATCATTATATTCTGTCCAGAAAAATTGCTTTTCCTCTCTAAGGATTAACATTTTGCAAGTTTTGTACAGAGCTGTATTCGGTCTGTGGACACGTTTCTGTAACCTGAAAATTTGTTTTTAAATAAATGAACTGTGGTTATTTTCATTAACAGTCTGCTAAACTGGGATCATTTTCCAGAATAACAAGAAAATATTTGATTTAGGACAGTGGTTGTTCACCTTGGAAACACAGTTGTGTGCTAAAGACATCCAGTCATGGCAAAGTCATCTGTCCCAACAAGACAGCTTGCTTTGCATATTTCTCCTGCTCTAAATGTGCCAAAGGCACCTCTGAATGAGCCAGCCAGGGCCCAAGGAGCTCTGTTCTGCTGAGAGCAATTCCCAGCTTCAAATGAGTGCAGATCTGATTCACTGATGCTCTTCTCACAAACAGAAGCTGTACAAGAGATAACTAACATGCAAAGCTTTGTAAATTGTTCTTAAAAGCAAGATTCCAGGAGGGAAGTTAAAAAAAAAAAAAACAACAAAAAAAGCCCCATAAAAATAGTTGTTCAATTATAAATTTGTTCAGGTAACACTTTGCAAGCTACTGAACAGCTGCTCCACAGTGACTCAGAAAGCTGCCATTACAATTTGCTCACTCCTAAAAACCCTCTTCTACACAGGCAAACTGAGGGGAAAGTGAAATTGGTTCAGAGTATGTTCTAGTTTGGTTTGGAATTTGACAATTAATCATCATCACTCTAAGCCTGTTGAACAGAGTGCTGCTTTCCCTACCTCCTCTTCTTCTGAAACTTGACTCAGGACAACCCCAAAATAAAGTAACACCGATTTAACCGCAGCAGTATCGCCCTGCTGTTCATTTCTCCAGGTTTGCATGGGCTTGCTTGGAAGGCTGTGTTCATATATCAAGCCTGGAGACTTGGCTTAAGAAGACACATAAATAAATGGCATGTGGCCCCCCAACTTTTGGCTGGAGGGAAACCATCAAGTGCTTTGAAGTCTCTTTTAAAATGTAGAAAGCAGTACCTGATTCAAAGTGCAAATATGCAGATTAGAATTCCTCAGGTATTAAACTCTTCTGGCTCACAAACTGTTTGTGTTTGAATGCAGTCTAAAGGAAAGGAAAATAAAAAGAATTATACCATAACAGTTTTTTATGACACAATTTTGGAAACCATTCAAAATTCCTAGGCTTTTCACCTCACAAGGAGTCCTTTTAGCATATGCTGGAAGCTGTTGTTTGATACCAGTAGATTTTATGTTTATTTTCTGCAAAGAGCAAACTATGTAGTCATAATTTTTACAAGAATTTTAATTACCTGTCAAATTATTTTGTGTTTCTCCTAGGGCAGGTGTGAAGGTATTTTTTACCTTACTTTTGGTGCTGTTCTCAAATTTTGGTTGCCACCATTTAATAAATGCTAATGATGCTACTGAACACTAAAGGTCAGACACTGAGCTTGTGTAAATTATTACAGCTCACTTGATTTCTACACTTCTACTGATTTACAGTTACTGAGGACCTTAAGATGTTGGCATTGTAATTTATTAATCTTGGCTATGGATTTTATTCCATACATTCCACTGTTTAGAATTGCTTACAGGGTCAAGTGAAAATGCAGGCTGATGCAGTGAATGTCAGTCAATATGAAAAAATAAACTCCTCACGTTAATTTCCACTTGTATTTATGGCTACATTATTTTGTCCACATTTTTTTCTGGGGGAGGGTTGGGATAATTTTCTATTTTTAATATGAACATACACAAAAAGGTAAACCTCAGTTTAAACCTTCAAGTCTTCAACCAAAGTATGAACAGGGCATTACATGTGGCTTCAACTAGCGAGCTCCAAGATGGTTTTGCTTTGTACACCCCTACCCTTGGGAGCATCAACCCAATCTGTAATTTTAGTATAAAATCACCATACAACAAGCTCACAACCAAGGTAATATATTAAAAAATAGAGTAGATAAACTCTTTGGAGGAATGTAAATGCCAGTATATATTAGCAAAAGTCTTAAACACTCAGTTTCATCCTTATTTCTAGTTCCATCCCAGTTCCATCCTGTGTGAATCCCCCCCAGATGTGGGGTTACCCCCATGCAGGACCCCTGAGTCTGTGCCATGGCTGCTGGCTCGTGATTGCAGTCCCCAGGCCAAGGTCACTGCCCTGAGCAGAGTGAGCACAGCCTCTGTTCCCCGCATCTCCTGAGCTCACACGGAATGAGAGCTCTCCAGGGCAGGGCCACCAAGCCTTTCTAAATGAGTCTGAGTTTTAATGGCAGGTCTCAGCCACCTGGATGACACAACTACCTGTGAGAAAATTCCTCTTTATTTGCTCTTCAGCAGGAAGTGGAGGAGCAACACAGAATTCTGCTTAGCAAAACACTGAGTCATCTGAAAAACACAAGCAGACATGTAAAGACTGTTCGTTAATAACTCTTCATGAGACCCAGACTTTCTTGAAATGGTCATCAAAAAACATTATAAGATAAATCAGTATAGCCTAAAGAATATTAGGTCCTCTGGGGTTAAAAACAAATCAGAGACTTTACCATTAGGGGAAAAATTTAAAACAATTCCCCTGAAATATTCATAAGAACGGGACAAAGTATAAGATGTCAATGATAACTTCCCTTCTGCATCAGGGTAGACTGAAAATGATAGTAAATTTTCTCTCTTACTCTCATCAAATAATGAAAGAGTTCAACCAGAAAAGAAAAATAAGCCATTCAATGTAAGATGCTGTAAAGTCACTGATTTGAGTCTGGCAGAAGAAGGATTTGAATATAGGTACCTGACAAGTAAGATAAATGTTTTACTTGAGAGGTTAAGCAGGAATAGTGTACAAGCACACTCACAAATTTATTTCTGGAGAAAAGAAAGCAGAGTTTGGAAGAAAATATTTGAACAAAAGTTTTGGTCAAGAAATATATATTTTTTTAATCAAAAAAAAAACATCCAGCCAGCCCTTAAGCCCCACTGTTTCTGCTGTTTTCACTATTCTTGAGAAATGTCCAACTAACCCTAGCTCTGAAACACCAGAGCACCCAAGTGCCCCTCTCCAGCTCTTTTCAGTGAATGACTTTCTGCCCACCTGAAAGCTCAGGTGTCAGAGCTCCTGAGTGAAAACACCTTTTGCTGAAGGGCTAAGACTAGACAAAGAAATCTGGTCTTTGAGTCTTCTAGTTTTTTACTTATGTGTCTGTTACAAGATCTTTCCCACCCTATAAAAGGTGGAAGAGATCATCAGAGAGTGTAGAATGATTCAGGCAGGCAGGAGCCAGTCACTGCTGCTGTGCTGGGATATGGACAGTGAGGCTGTGAGACTTCTGCCTCCCTTATTAGCAGAATGCCATTGTATTATTGGCTTGTGTCAGAAAAGGCAATTTAGGTAGAAAACACTTTGATCATCACAGTTGGCTTTTCTAAAGAATATTCAAATTAATATTTAATGGTTTAAGTCCTCATATGAAAGCTGGAAGAATCAATTATTTGTTATGCCCTTTTTGTTGATTTCAACTTCTTTACCCCCAGTTTAGGAATAACAGGCTGCAGCAGGCTGTGGTAATATAAAATGTATCAGTTCCCCCAGTGCAAGGATATTTTTTTTAAAAAAAGAGCAAGAACACCAAGAAGAATGTGCTCAGCAAAGAAACAATGACTGTGGGTGAATATGTTGCTGTTTTTAAGCAGGACCTGACATAAGCTGGTGCTAAAGATGAACACAGTATGTTGTGAGTGGGATTTCATAACAACTTCAAGACCAATGAAGGCAATTACCCCTTTTTCTGAAAGAATTAGAAATCTTGGGGCAGAAAACATTTTTAATGTAAGCAAATGGGTCATGGAAAGGATCAGACAAAGCTTAGGTGGAGTCCTAAAATATTATTTTTCAAGAGAATTATCAGCATTAGTTCAGAATTAAGCTAAAATAGGCTTAAAAGCTGAATAGTAATAAAGTTCACTTTTTAGAATTAGATAATTTCAAGGGGACCTTGGTTAAAAAAGTGTAAAGGGCTTGGAAAACTTCTTTCACAACTTTTATAATCGGGGAACATAATTTTGTGAGAGATGCCCCATGTCCCCCTCTGTGACAAGCTTGCCCTGCCTGCTGGCTGTGTACTCTGGAACCAATTCTGCATCTTGTAAACAAACTGCTGTGCCTAACAGGTATTTGGACTTTTGTTACTATCCCTAACCAGGTTATGTATGAATTTGGAAGCTGCATTTTGTACTGTCTGCTCAGGGAAGCTGCAGGAATCCCTGAGATGTGGACAATCTAATTGTTCTATTACTGTTGTCAGAGCCATGAAAAATTTTTAACTCTTCAGTTTTCTCACCCTACATGTGAGATAAAGGCAGGCCTTTTTCCTGTCTCTCCTAAAACCATGCAACACTAGAGCTGGGATGGCAGTTTATTTTATTATAGCTACCTTTAGTCCTTTATCTGTATAAGAAAGCATAAGAAAGTTTGAGCTGTATCATCAGATTGTGAATGCTCAGTGATTTGTAGTAAGGAGAGAGCAGAGACAAACTAATCCTTCCCCAATACACCTCCAGCCTACTGCAGTTGTTGAATATATTCTACCAGTAATAATCTCTTTAAATGAAATTCTGTTCTACACTTAGAAAGACACCAGGAAAATATAGCAATAGCAGTTTGACCCTAATTATTTCAAGGAAACCCCGAGATCAGACCTCTGCCATATGACACAATGTCAAATATGCACATGACAAATCCAGGGAAGGGAGATGGGCAGAGGTTAACTCGTTTGGGCACAGCTATCACAGCTGGCTAACTTTTGGACCAATCCCATCTGTCAGCTCAGAACAAGGGCACACTGAAGACATGTGTGTCTATCCCCAGCATTGTACAACTGTCTTAAAAAACTGCACTCAATCCTTCCATTTCCTTTGCAGACAAACCACTCAATTTTCTCACACTGAGGTGGAAAATGCCTGCTGTGCATCCTCTCCCTGTGTATTTCTCCCCATCTTCCTTCCCATCCATGCTCAGAGCAGGAGGAGTCTCAGCTAACCCCAGGACACGAGTGCATGAAGCAGCCTCTAGTCATACCTGGAATTCTCTGATGGCATTAGCAGGATGTTTTACTCTTGCTTCTGGTCAGGACATTGTAGCTATAATTATTATACATTACCCTTTCCAATACAAATCACTGCTTACCCATGTTGCCCAGGGGAAGAGTTTTGGATAGAGAATCTCCAATATATCTGCCTGTACTTACTGCCATTACAAAGTTCACAGCGAGAGGAGGAGGCCAGAGCACTCTGAGGGTTCTCAGGGCTGGTTGCACAAACGCTAATGAAATCCCATTAATCACAGCCCCAGCCATCACAGACTTGTCAGCACAGGAGGTTGCAGACTACCCACAGCAGGTAGAGAGGTTAGAAAAACATGTCACAAGAAGGTACGTGTATGACCTTTCCTGAGTCTTCAGTGCTGGTCAAAATGTTTTTGTGCTGTGGCTAAACCGGAGATGGGAGGAAAATGCCATGGGGAGAACATCTGCAAAACTTAAAATGACACAGTCTGGGGAATTATCATGGTTCCACTCTCCACCTCTCAAAGGCTTGAATTGGAAGTATTTCTCCATCCACTTTGCCAGGTTGGTAATTACCTGTACTCCTCAGCACCCTTTGCACCTGCAAAGGAACCTTGTTTTTTAAGTAGTTTGCATGCAAAGTATGGCAGAGACAGAACCATTTCTCACCACCAACATTAAAGCCCAGGTAAAAGTCTTATAAGCAGGAACTACAATACCATGATGGGCAACAGCTTTACTTATTTGTCATGGTTTTCTCTGCAGTGCCTGTGGCAGCTGGGGCAGACACAGAGCAATCCTACACCTGCCCCATCTGGCCCAGGAGATCTGGCACCTGGTAAGGTTTCACTGCTCACTCTGGGCTCAAGCTCGCTCAGGTACACTGCTGTGCATTTGCCCACAGATACTCCAGCACAGAATAAACCAAAAGCACACTCCTGGCTTCTTGTTACTATTCTGGACACCTCATTATCATGAAAGAATTTAGTATCTCTGGAGCAGGTCTGAAAAGGAAGGGCAGCTTTTACCATTCTCCTGTGCCATATAAAGTGTCCTGGAACCTGCTCACAGATGCAGACTCCATCAGATAGAAGCTGCACCCCTGTCCCAGCTTTTCCCTGACAAACACAAGCAGATGTAGATGACTGATTGAAAGTGTAATTTAATACAAGATCTCTTTCCTAATGTTCCCATAACAACACTTGAGGGCCTGTTCAGAAGCTGTGGAGCACACAGTTGAGAAGTCACACAAAGGCTGTTTTGGGAGCCTGAAAGAGGCTTGATTTGTCTGCATAACAAGTCAAAAGTAGCCATTTTATAGCAAATATGAGTTTCTGGGTTTGAATCTCAATATATGACAAAGCTGGCTTCTTTTCTTTTTCTGCCAGAATGGCCTGTGGTTTTCTTCTGTCCCCAAGCAGCCATATTCTGCAAACCTATAGAAAGAGTTATGCACATTTCCTCCTAGGTATATCTACAGAGGGAAAAGAGTATAGTGAAATTTAAGATTGTGAGAAAAATATATGTTTCTGTAAACTACGTTACTGAGTTGTTTGGGGGACTTTGTTAACAAAAGACGGTGCTCAGTAATGCATTTTATTTGTTTAAATTTATTGATACAACTTCTTTTGGTTAAAAAGACCAAATATACAGATTTTTTTGTACAAACTTTCAAGTGATCATTCAATAACATTTTTTAAAAGAAACAGAAAGACTGTATTCAAAGAACATGCACAAGTGAATTCAGTATTTCATATGGGGTACAAAGAGAGAGTAATTTGTAAACTCTGAGATAAAAAGATATCAAGGGAAGAGGGATTGCCTTATATAACAAGCTCTGATTGTAAATAAAATGTCTGGGCAGGATGTTTAACTGTAATAAATTGGCTGTTTGGGTCTTTGTTGACATATCTTTTTAGCTTTATTGACATTAGCTATATTTGTATGGAACTTTATTGTATGGGAAAGAGTTTGTCATTTGGAATTTGAAAAACTAACAGTAGAAGCATCTTGACAGCACAGAGGATGCTGTTGGAGAGAGACTGAGAAGGCAGGAAGAAAAGAGCTGAGTCTCTTGTATGCAAGAAAATCACAGAGAAGAAGGGAGATGGAATGTGGATATATTTAATTGCATTTCAAGCAGGGTCAGCATTTTGCTAGGTTTCTTTTACTGGCCATTTGTAATGCAGTAAGAAAAGGGAGGAGGGAGAATGAACCCTCTCCGTATTGAATTATTGTAATCTGAGTCACCAGTGAAACCAAAGGATTAGACTTCGACTTTAGTTAGGAATGACATTCCTTCCATCCAGCCCCGGCACTTACCGCTAAACGAACAGCTCTGCCCTCAAATTCCAGGAATATGGAAGCAGTTCATCAGCCAGGGTCTGGAACAAGCCTAAATCTTACATTAAAGACTCAAATAACTTTCCAGTCCGTTCCATTCAGCTTCAAGCAAATTTAGTATTTTCATATTCTTTTCCTTCTTGGCTATTCCTAGTTGAAATTTCCCCCTCCTCATGTTGAATTCTTCTATTTTCACCTAACAAGGTTCAAGAACCTGCTCAGCACTTGGGCTTTTGGGAGATGTGGCCCTTCCAGTACTTCAGTGAAGCTCCCGAGGCCCTGGGGATCTTGTGTGCCCAGAGGGGAGGGCAGGTGGGAGCAGGGAGGCTGCACAGTGCTGTCCTTTCCTCCCCAGCTCAGCAGAGAGGGCTCACTGCACTGGCCAAGCCTCTCCTCCCATCCCATTCCTACCCTCCTCTGGTTGAGGAGCTTTCCCACAGCATGGCTGATGGAAAAACCAGCCCTTTCACTCTGAATTTCACACCACAAGGCTTTTACTTGAAAATCTGCCATAGGAGAATGGAAAGATCTGTCCATTTAGGGAAGAGGTTTATGTTCAGCATATGGCTGGTGACACCTTTCTCCAAGCAGGCTGACACAAGGTAAACACACATCCCCACTCACCAGGAGGTGTGGTCTCACTTGGACCATGGCAGAGTTCCTCTCTATCCAGGAGTTTAGGTATTTTCTCAGCTTAGAGATGATTATTCTCATAGCAAGACTAAGGAAACAATGGGAAAATCTCAACACTCCAAAGCACAAAAGAGGATACACATCAAACACATTTGGAAAGAGATCAGTGCGACTTCAGTGGGTCCTGTGTCACAGTAGCTTCAGCTTCTAAAATGAAATATTAGGGGCCTGAAAAGATTAGAAAAGAGTTATGGGGAAAAAAGAATCAATTGACTAGAATTTCTACCTTTTTTTTCTTTCAAAACCCACATTTTTTTCCTTGCAAACAGGATGGCTAGAAATTTATCTCCAAATGTAGTAAGCACATGAAATGCATAGCCTTTAATGTGCAAATTCTATACTGCACAAGGGAATAACTAATGAGTCACTATTTTAATGAATCAAGTTAAAATGGCAAGGTGATGTATCTCATTTAGGAGAATGAATTCTTAATGTCACTGTAAGACAAGCCCCTCCTTCCCCTCTGAAGGGAGGACAGTATTGGTTTGAGTTAAAATCCTGCTTTTTTTGTGTTTGTTGCAGATTTTCCACAGTCCTTGGGAGCTCTCCATGGATTATACACTTCTGAAAAACAATGGCAGCTTTTGACCAGGGAAGTTATTGAACTTTAGACAAACCCAAGAATTACTCAGCAAACAAAGCTGAGCAGGACAAGCCCTGCCTTGGCTGCCCAGTACCCTGAGGGAGCAGGGTAGGCACAGGCCTGGCACAGCCCGGGTACAACCCCAGGAGCCAGCAAGGCAGCATCAGACTGCTGCCTTCTCGAGAACAAAACTCCTTCACTGTCTCTCTGCACCTCCCATTTCTGCTGACAAACATTTCCTACCCCCAAACACCCTCACATGTCCCCCTGCCCTGAGCTGCTCATCACAGCACTGCTCCGAACCCACAGGTATTCCCAGAAGCAGGCCTTGGCTCCCCAGAATGGTACTGTGGGCCTGATCTTAATGGTTCAAAGAAAACCTTTAAGTCCATGGTAATAAACAATCATCACCCTAATCATTACCATCTCTTTCCACGTTTTTAAGTTGCACTGAGGTGGGGAGCTGGCAGCAGGGCTGTGGGGCTACCTGGCCCTCAGGGAATTTGGTGCTGCCCAAGAGGAAAGGCCTTGAGGACGGGGTGGAAGTCTGCCTGGCAGCCAAGGAAGATGTGTGAGAAACTCACAACTTCTGTCCAGCCCTGAGCATTACTCAAGACAATGAACTGCCCAGTTGATTAACCCAGAAATCTGAAAGGATCTGCACTAAATTCCTGCACACTGCTACTCAGGCTCCCATAAATTCTTGATTCACATTGGCAGGTCTGATCCAAATCCCAGTAAAGTCAATATGAATCCTTCTATCAACTTCCCTGCTCTTTCTGAGTCATTTCAAAGCTCTACTGACCACACAAGTTTTCTCAAAGAAGTATTTAAAGAAAAAGCATATTTGTACCTTTATGCTTTCTATCTCCCACCCCCAGTTACTACATCAGATTACCACAAAAACCAAAATCATGCACTTTATTGAGCTGCTATCAGACAATCATTTGCTTGGAGAAAATATTGCAGGAAACAGGAACAGGATTCAGTAAATTTTAATTCTTCTCTTCTAGTCCTGGCTGGTTAACACAACTCTGAGCAGCCAGTAATGAGCAGGATACCCAGTGCCCAGCTGGCACACGTGACTGTCACTGACTGAAGGAAAGCAACCCCTCAGGAGGGTGTAAACAGTGCTCAAAGTGCTATGGACAAGCATTTAAGTAAAAGAGGCTGGAATCATCTGTCTGTGAAAAGGGAGCAGGGAAGAGCAAAGCTTTGATTTACTGAGGGAAGGACTCTGCAGCAGGTAGCTTATAACCCCTTTATGCAAGGCCCACAAGCTACAGAGATTGAAGAAGGGATGAAGGGCTGTCCTGGAAATAGGAAAATAACTTATTCATAACCAATTATCCATTAATGTTCACAAAGAAATTGTCAGAGTCCTAGAGTCCTAAATGTATTCATTATTTCAAATTGTTCCATTTATTTCTTCAGCAAATAAGCTATGTCTTCTGAAGGTACTAAAGTTGTGAAATGTACAATTGACTATTCCATTCACAATCTGCATTGTCTTGGATAGCTGAATTATTTGCATAGTTTAATTACATAACACAAGGGAGGAAAATGGAGCCTTTAATCACCATGAGTAATGCTTACTCAAGGAAGAAGTCCTATTGAAGTCCAAAGAGTAAAGGCTTTTCAACATTAGAAAATGAGTCAGAATCTGGCCTTATTCATAGTTTGTGCTCTGAGGTAGTTTTACTCCTTGCTTTTCAAATATGTACCTTCCACACAAAGTATTTCCAGCGAGCAGCAATAAACACCTTTTGACTTGCTTAGTCAGCCAGCACAGGGCCAATCCAAAACTGAAATGCTGAGGAGAAGGACATGAAGTTCAACAACTCGGGTTGAGGAAGGAGAGGAGGGAAATTCCTGTTTCTCCAGAGCCTCTATGATCACAAAGTATAAACATTCCTGTTTAAAAAAAAAAAAAAAAAGAGAAAGAAAACACAAAATACCACAAAACAACCAATATTCAAGCCTGTTTGGATATTTAGATAAATATTGGTAGGTTAAAATAAAGTCTAAAATATCATACAGCAAATGAAAAATAAGACATAACATCATGTGATAAGCACTTAGAAACACCAAAGAAAACTATGAGCTGTTCTGTCATCATTTTTGGAGGTCTTTAGGAGGGATCTAAATTGCTATTGTGGGAAGAGCACTAACAGAAAAAACTACAAACATATGCTAACTTGTGGTGATTTGTTTGCCAGTTAACAGCACACCAACACTCCCCAACAAATTAGACAAAGCCAACAAGCAATATTCTTTATTGAGACAAGTGCTGCAAAGGAGACAGCAGCACAATGGGCTGACAAAACCCCTCTGTGACCTGACAAGGGTGACAGCACGGAGCTGGAGTGAAGCTCTGGTGTCTGCATTGCTCAGCAGAGACACAAAGGGCACTGCTCAGGTCCAGGGCAGCTGCTGTCAGCGGGCACCTGGAGCCTGCACCTGTAAAGGAGAGGGTGATGGGAGGTCTGAAAGAGAAGAATCTCCAAAATCAAGTTTTTCTAAGAATTTTTTTTCTTTTTACTTAAAAGGCCATATTTTGCTAAAGCAGTGATTTCAGCAACATGACATTTGAACTGAGTCAGAATTAGTTTTATCAGCCATTTCTGATAGGTGTCTCTGATAGCTGTTTTCCTTGAGAAAAGGTAAAGCAAAGGTTCAAGCCTACCTTGTCCTATTTAGAGATTGAGCCAAAGCAACACTAAAAGCTGGTCTAGGCAGTAATTTGAATGTTGAGCTATTTGCCTAGCTTCATTGTTATTTCAATTTGTATGTGCTTAGTAGAGTTTTACCCACATCTGATATGCTTGGTTCATTACAAGAGCTTGCTAAAAAAATAAACTGTTTTAATAATAGAGTTTTGTTTCTTCCACTGATGTTGTAAGTTTTAGCTTTCCTATTTTCCAGATTGTGTACTGAATTAGTACGTAACTCTGAACTTCCTAGAAAGTGTTAGCAAGTTCTCTTCACAGTTTAGTTGGACAAAACAAACTTTTTCCAGCCCAAGAACCAAGGAAACTGTTTAAGCTTCAGGCCCAAAGAGTATAAACAACAGTGAATTGAGGAGAGCAATCTGGGAGGATGGGACTTCTTAAGCTGTAATTAGACAATTAACCCAAATGTGTAAATGGCCCAAAACTTATAGAAGTGTGAAAGCGTGTGTGACCCATAGTCCATCTTTTGTGTAGCCTCGGCTGGACTCTTGTACTGTCCCAGGTGTATCCTTTTTCTAATAAATACCAACTTTATTCCTTTAATACTGTCTGGCCTCTGTTCTAGGTGGCCTCCTAAGGCATCAACACTACAACGTTATCACTTATATTTTGGGCCTTTTATCCTCCTCTTATGTGGAGGATGGAAGTTACTTTTGTAGAGGATTTCACAATTTCATTGTTTTCCTTGGGGATAAAACACTGAATTTGCAAACGTTTCCAGATATTGAAAATATTGCTCTGGATCAAATGTTTCGGTATTGATGGATTCAATGGAGGATGTTATGCAACAGGAGACAACAGAGGAGAAGAGGCAAAAACATTGTCAACTGTTCAGATGCAGACATCACTCACTCCAAATCATTGAGGGAATGTGGGCTTTCTGCTGGCAGCAGTGGTTTGGGTTTTGTTTTTGTTTTAACGTATTCCATCTCTTAGATTAAGCATTCTGACTTCAGGTCTCTGAATCCTTCAATTAGGCTTGTGCAAACCTACCCAGACTTTTCATGTTCTTCCCCTTCCCTCCTCCTCTTTCATTTTCTCTTCCTGCTTCCCCATCCTTGCAGTGAAGCCTCCCAGACTTGGCAGGAGCTGCTGGGCTCCAGCCAGCTGCTACCTCAGACTCAGGTCGTGCTTTCAGGGCACAGTGCTGAGCAGGGTGGGGTTGGATTGCAGGCTGCAAACCAAAGCCAGAGTGTGTGATGCCCCAGAGAGCACAGCACACAGGTGGGGAGAGGGAGCCTCTCCTCGGTCACCAGCCACACAGGTGAGTGGGGACAGGGAGCTAGCCCTCACCTAGACAGGTCAGACACCTGCATGGCAGTCTTAACACCACCATGTGCCAAAGAGAACACATCCCATTTGTCTAAAGCACACTGGACCAATGCCTTTTCCACCAAAATTAAGCTGGGGCTCTTTTGCTTTATATACAAGTCTCAGACAATGGCTGTATAGTTCAGTTCCTCAGTACTCTTACCCCATTTAGCATGGTAACTTTTCACTGAGGTCTAGGGGAATAAACCTAGCTACAGGGAGCAGAAGAAGCCATTCCCTATCCCTGGGGTCTTCATCTGGCAGTGTTAAACCTCAAGGCTCCAGAGTCACAAGCCCTCTGCTCTCATGGGTATATTGCCTATATGAAAAAGGAATGATCAGATTTGATGGGGACAAATAGCGAGTCTACATTAAGTTCAGTCAAGCAAACCAAATCTATTTCTTAGCTACTCAATGATGTGATGTCAGCTACCCTCTTCTTTAAGACAACCAGAACTAGGCACAGCAGAAAGCCTGGTGGACAAAGGTGTCCCCACAGAAATGGTAACACCCAAGCCTGACAGAAATCTTCAACAGCAACTGGTTTCTGCCACACCTCCTGCCAGCTGGCATGCTAAAGAATCAGCCACGTTTCTGAGATTTCAGTAAAGGAAATAAAGCACCTGCTGTACAAGGGGATACATGAGACCAACTTCACCCTTTCAGTGGTGCAGAATGAAAGAGTTAAAAGAAGTTCCTGCACACATTCTGCACAAACTTATATGCCCAAAGGCACTGCATTTGGCTTCCTGTAACTTATGTTTTTTCCTTTATACTTATCCCTAGTGGTTCATTATTGCAGGCCTTTTGACTTGTGTGAACAAGACTCACGATTCCCTCTGGGAGTTTTGCCGCTGCCCTCTCACTCCCCATTCCTCGCTTTTTTGTTTTTCATCTTCCAACTACCTCTCCCATTCAGGCTGGGAAAGGAGGCAAAAGGCAAAATTTATATCATGATTTCTCCCTTCTCCACAGTTCCATTTCAAAATAATTTTGTTCTTAACAAGAGAAATGCCACCATAATGTGAGGACACTCTGGTGTCTCAAGCTCGACAGATTTATTCAGAAAGCAGAGAGAAAGAAACCACAGCTCAAGTTAACAGCAGAGATCCAGAGCAGCCTCTGAAATGTTGGCTGTAACCCACCTGAATCTCCCCCTCCCTGTGAATAAGTCTGTAATTTAAGCAAATCAGGCCTCAAATACTTCTTGCTTGCAAGCCTCCTACACTTGCTTGCAAGATTCAAATCCTTAAAAGATGCAGAGCCTGCTTTTGTACAGTGTTTGTAGGTGTTTGCAGAAGTGTTTATGCACCAAAAAGAAACCCTCTTTTCTACTACTATCAATCAGATATTAGGTATACTCACAGTAGTCTTTGTTATATTTGCTGATTTATTTCTTTAGCACAGTTTTTCACCCTGCCAGTCTTTTCACCTGTCTTTCTGGTTAACAGAACCAATTTGTGAATACAGCCTCTATGACTGCTGAAAAAATTAAATATTTCAGACCTTATTTATTCCTCTGTAGGGCAACAGGAGCGTTGGCCACTTTAAACAGGAAGCTGTGACAAAAGGTAGAGTTGCATCCTTCTCTCTTTTGTCCAGCCAACTTTAACTTCCACACGGGAGAGAATGTGGAGAAAAAGAGCACGGGAAGCTGACCCCAGGAAAGATGAAAGTGGCTGAAGGAAAAAGGTAAAAAATACAGAGATAATTTACTGCAGGATTTTTTCTAAATATATCCATTTTTCTTGTGGATACAATAGTGTGTGCTGCACATGTTTTCTTTTCTTTTTTAAGAATAAATAATTTGCAGGTGCGTGGAGCTCTGCTACAACAAATATTTCAAACTGAACCTACATTTTCTTCATATGATTAATATGTTACATTACAGCTTGCTTATAAATTAAAGGAGCAGAATATGATGTACTGCAAAGGAGTTGTATATTTCCCCTGCTAAGCTATAGTGGCTGTAAATCATTTCCATCACACTTCATTTTTAATTTGAATTCATAAAAGGTTGTACATTTCTTTGTGGTTTTAAATAAAAAAAAAGATTAAAGGCTGTAAATGTAAGCGTTTATTAAAGGAAAAAATATGCTGATCTGAAACTTCAGGAATTAAAATACATGTAAAATATAAGAAAGGAGAACAAGTAAAGTTTCTAGTTAAGCCCTGGGAATTTCATGTGAAATTTAAGGTCTTCTCTGTACATCTATGCTTGGTACAGTGAGGGTTGTAGGGGAAGACGAGGGTGAGGAAATGGAAGGACAGGAGTGTCCCCAGCTATACCCAGGTCAGGGGTTCGTGAAGTCAGTTCCCATGGTAGCTAATCATTGAAGTGGAGCTTACAGAAACAAAAAATAAGTAAAAATAAATCCCATTTCCCACAAGATGCCAAACCCCAGTTCCTGCCCTTCTGTGAGCACAGGCCACCAGATGGGCTGGCCAAGTTGGACTTTGAGATGAGACCATAACCTCATGAGGCCAGGCCCCAGGTGACCCTTCAGACCTCTTGTTTGGCAGCCACAAGGTTCTGCCTACAGAAAAGGCTCTGAGGCAGCCTCAGTGCTGATCTTCAGGTGAATCACCAGGGTTACTGTGCAGATCATGCTTCTCTTGAGTGGGGGCTCCGTATTGGCATTCTGCTTATTACTCCTCTCATCTAATTTGAGGAGAGATCACCATAATTAATATGATGATCAGCAGGGGGAAGTCATTTTAATCACATTAGCAGCAAAGAAATCAACATGGCATCACACTAAAATTTTGCAAGTACAGTAAACTAGATTACAACTGTTTTTAATGCCTCTTTCAATAAAGTGTTTTGCCCATCAGTAGCAATCTCACATGTCTAGTATTAATGGAA